TTGAAGTCAGGGATAGCTTATTAATCTAGCTCCAGTGACTAGCACAATGCTTGGACTACATCAGATTATCAGAAAATGTTTGTTGAAAGAATGGCAAAAGTTAAAACTATCCTGTTTTCAAACACATGGATGTCAAAGAATGCCAACATACCAGCAATGGGTGGTTTCTTTGTTGAGAGTCATTCTGAGCTCCGCCATTTTCTTTGGAGTACCATATGCCTTTTGTACCCTTTCTAGAAACTGTCCTCATTCACCTTGGGGTTCTTCTGGGTTAGGGCCCTCCCTTCGGTGAGTTAAAGCTTATTTTAAACCAAAAATATTAATATGTTTGTAGTGGAAGTCAATCCTGTTTTCAATTTTGGCCAAGATAATAATATCACTCAAGGGATTGAATGGCAGTTATCTTTCAGTTAGGTTCTCATGTTCCCTCATTAGTAGAAGGTTACAGGAAAGTTGGAGATGTTTAAATAAGTATAATTAGAGTTCAAGGCCACAGAGAAGATACAAAACAGCCATTATAACTAAGTAGTTTTCAAGCTCCATATCTCATACTGTTTTAGAAGATTTTGAAAATTTCCCATGAGGGTCTGTGATTTATGTGACCTGGGATTGTGCTGCAGTCATTGGTAGTACAGGCAATTTGGAGGGGAAATGTGATTTTTCTATCCTAGGTATTGAGAATAAAACTGAAATATCTCTTACTTCCCCCCTCAATTACCCGTGTCATGAAAACTGTCTCAGTATTTGCCTAAAATCTTGCACATTATTGTTGAAAACATCTCATGTCAGGAATATATCTTTGGAACAGTTTGTGAAACACTTCTTAGCAAGCTGCTGGTGAAAGATTTTAAGTGGGCTAGGAAAATTTATGTGGGGATATTAGTTCATTAAACACTACTGCAAATTGGTTGTTGGAATTTCAAGCTTCTTTTTTTTTTCAGGGTGGTAAATCTACTAGCATAATTTAAGAATTCAGTTGTTCCACCTGTGAGAAGGTTCTACACAGAGCAAAGAAGTGATATGCTGATGAAAACTGTATTTTCTGGACCAAATGGTCCAAAAATGTAACAAACTGCTTAAAACTGACATTGTCCTAAGAAATCCAAAGGACAGAATTGCTTTACTTCCTGTCATTCATTTTCCTTTTTCTTTGGCTGTGTATACATGATGGAAGGAAGGAGGAATTCTAAGAAAAGGGTGCTGTAAAATCTGGGGAATTGCTCCAGAGGTTAGCTTTAAAAGAAAGCAGCAACAGGAACACCCCTCAGCAGAAATCCCTATGACAAAACTTAAAAGCAAACTTTGAGAAAGAAGACACAAGACTGTGTGACATTAGGTCAGAAAGAGTTTTGAAAATGTTTATAATGAGAATAGTATCAATGATTACTTAGATTGAGTTTGCTTTTAAAGTGTTGACTTTAAGAGTAATGTTTATTAGTGCTTCAGTTTTAATAAAAAGGTTATCATCTTAAGTAAATAAAAAGAAAACCAAAAATTGAGCAGAAGCTGTGGGGCAGCAGACTTTTATCTACCAATACTCTTGGACTCACTGGGAGTTGCAATCACCAGACTGAGTTACCATGGATGCAAATGTAACATAATGAAACTGAAAGCTCATTAAAAAAAAAATTAACAGGTAAAGGTAGAATTGTGAAATGACAATAAATGTCAATCCATTCTGAATTTCCATCCTCAAATTTAATTAACTCCTCTGCAAACTTTTGTGTCATTTCAGATTTTACTACTTACGAGTATATGGAAGCCATTTCACAAATGTTTATATCTTTGTTTTTAAGCAGATGTTGCAAATTTAAAATCTGTAAGGGTCAACCAAGAGATAACTGAGGCAAGTGGGCTAGGTGGAGAGCATGGCAAAGGGGAAGTGCATCCTCTCAGAGGGGAGCATTCCTTGCTCAGCTCCAGCCTGTTATTCTCCTGCAGAGGAAGAGGCCTAGTGTAATTTGATTTTTCTTTTTTCATGAACAAGATATTAATAGTTTTATGCAAAACTCCCCATTTTTAAGTGACAGCATTAACTTTAAAAAAAGAAGCACAGTAGAACAAAGAAAATTTGTCCACAGGTCAAAATGCTCTGGGGGCTTTCAGCATAGAAAGTCCCTTGGAGGGGACCCCCTACAGTCCAGTGCTGCCCACTATTTATAGTAAGTAGTCTTAAGATTTGGTGAAAAGCTTCATGATCTGCTTAACGTCAGTGTCCCTGCTTTTGCATACATGGATGAAATTATTCCTCAATGTTGATGCTTTCGCTGGGCAGTTGTAATTGTTTTTAGTTAATTGAAGTCTTTCCAGTAAACTTTGGACAGAGGCAGAGAATTATACTGTGTTTCTTTACTTGCAATTTTGGTTTGATACCAATATGTCAATTTTCTGCCCTTGCTTGTATCAGAGGAGGATAGCGGCAAATCCCTTATTTATGGTAGAGGAAAGAGCTACCAAGGGACTCCAAATCAGCAAGGATGGCTGTTGTTCCTAAGCAAATTACTTGTTGCAGTCAATGGCTCTCTTAATCTACTCAGAAGCTCATTATGACTTATCCATCTCTGTGTTCCCCATACCTGGCAAAATACCTGAAATGCCAAAGATGCTTGAAAAACATTCTTGTACTGAAATTAACTGCACCACAGTAACAAAACTCCTTGACTCGACTCTCAAATCCTCCTGTCATGTGACTTTGCCTTCACCATCTGCTTATCCCCATGGAGATCCAGGCTGTCAACCAAACTGCTCTATCTTCCCAGAATACCTTGAGATATACTGAGACATCTTTTCCTCCTTCTGTACCTGTAGAAACCTACTGATTACCAAAAACCTAATTTAAATCTTCCTTTCCAATAAAATACCATTTTATTGCAGCAAACTTTGTTCTGTATCTAACAAATCATAAACCACTAGTCATGCTTGCAGGGAACGTCAAGACAATCCAATTCATTTGCCTCTACAGCTAATTTTTTAAAGTCAACCCTCAAAAAGTACTGCCTGACTCTACCAGTTTATAGGGACACTGTGCTTCTCCATGTTAAGTTTATTATGGGAAATATCAAGGATTACAAACTCAAAGGCTTACAAAAGCCAGGCAGATAACACAAATAGAATAAATGTAAGAAGACTAGAAAATGAATGACTTACAGACAAGTGAATTCAGACAACCTAGCTCTTTAGTTCACGAGGGAACACAGGGCCAGAATTGCCAGATTTTTCTTTTATAAGCCAAAACTTTGGAAGCCAAACAAAACAGGTCTGTAGGTTGCCAGTTTCGACCTTGGGTATAACACTTTATTTTCCTAGAGTTTAGGAATATTTTTCAAATAAAACAGCAGGAGGATATGTTTGAAAAACATTGGAAGTCACTAGATATACAAAATAGATCTTCCAGGATCCAAGAAACTGCATTCGGCAAGTATTTTGTGCTGCCTAGCCCAAACCCTAAGCTCTAAAACACTACCTCAAGGACAGCAATACTTCCCTGTTGGAAAGGCTCATTTGTGGGACTTTATTACATAGAGTTCATGTTGGCTGCATCTTGAGGAAGGGTTGGTTTGGTTCCTCCAGTAAGAACAGAAGTCTGAAAGCTATGATGAGTGTTGATCAAATTATAAAGGTCTAGAGAAACTGGTCACTCTTTCTTAACAGAAATGCACATAGCTTAAAACACCCCAGCTGAATTAAAATAAAACAGGGTACTAAAGTGAATTTTGAAAATTAATTTTATCTATGTGGGTTTGTTTTTCTCTTTCTGTTCCACATTCCTTCTTTCTGGGAATTTTCTGTCTCTAGAAATACATTATTTCTGTTGGGGTTGTCAATCAAAGGGGTCTATGAGTGGCACAATATTTAGGCTGGCAAAACAAGAGAATCAAGTATGCATGACTTAAGCCCAGCCAATGAAGAGGAAGTTTTTTTCCAGAGATAAGGATGTGGGCTGGGTGAGATGGCAAGCTGTAAGTGACCATGTAGTTTTGGATGTATGCCCCAAATACCACCAATGCATATGAACAAATCACTTCGGAGAGTGTGTGGGGGGAGATTCCTGATAATAAAATCTAATCATGTCTGAGGCTACTGCAAACCTTGATCAACAAGTTAACTATTTGACTTTTTGACTTGAGTATCTTTGACTTGGTCCTATAAATTATAACTGAACGCCTTGGCTAATATAAGAAACATTCATGGTTCATGTTTTTATTTTAGGAGAATGTGGATCCAATTAAGATAATTTCAGAAATAGGCATCTAAATAGCTGAATTGTTAACTGCATCTTCTCTCTCTCTCTCTTTCTCTCTCATGTATATTCATAATTCACATTTGCATATTCTATCCTTTAAAATATATGAATGTCAGCAAATAAAAACTTTTCTCTCCCTATTTCAAAATATGATCTTTGTACTAATTTTATAAGTAATGCCATGGTTAGTACCAAAAGTTTGGAGAACATGGAAAAATCATAAAGAAAAATAACACAATAACTACTGATTTCAAAAGTTAGGATCAAATTAATTTATCAGTCAAAAGTTGTCTTCTACACATGACTACATATTTTTGGACATGTATGTGAATTAGATATTTCATGGAATTATTTCCAGTATGAATTATAATTTAGGAAAACAAGGTATGTTTACATATATAGTCAGTGAATCTCTTTAAAATATTAATCTCTGCTTTTATCCTTTTTTTTTTAAGAGAGAGTGAGAGAGAGAATTTTAATATTTTATTTTTTGGCAGACACAACATCTTTGTTTGTATGTGGTGCTGAGGATCGAACCTGGGCCGCACACATGCCAGGCCGGCGTGCTACCGCTTGAGCCACATCCCCTCCCCAGCCCTGCTTTTATCCTTGTTATAAAGAGTTTTGTAGGAACCTTGGTAGCTCAAAGTACAGGATGCAGACCGCACTTGGAACAGCAGGTATGCCTAGGTCATGTGAGCGTGCCTTCTGCTTTGCCCTGGAGTTCCAGTACTGCTGGGGCAGAACAAATGCTCACCTCCTCGTTCTCGATTTTGAGCGTGGCCAGGCGGGACTGCAGTTGTTGGTACCTGAGCATGAGCTCTGCCTGGACCGGTTGCTGGGCACTGACCTGACACACCTGATGGAGAATAAGAAACTGCAGTTACAAGGGGCACCACCAACCAGAAGCACAAGTGTCACATGGATTCTCTCAAGATTCCAGTTACATCTCTCCTCCTCCTCCTCCTCTTCCTCCTCCTCCTCTTCCTCCTCCTCCTCCTCCTTCTTCTTCTTCTTTTTTTTTTTTTTTGGTTCAAGGGATTGAACCCAGGGGCACTTAACCACTGATCCACATCCCTAGTCCTTTTTATTTTGAGACAGGGTCTTGATCAGTTGTTGAGTGTCCTTGAACTTGTGATCCTCCTGCCTCACCCTCCCAAGTTGTCAGGATTACACGGGTGTGCCACCACACCTGGCACATCTTTACTTTTATCAGCCACCTCAAAAACTTTAGTTTTAAATAGAGACTTGGATATAAGTGGCAAGCGTGGAGAGCAGCTGCCTGGCTTGGCTATGACTGGGAAGACAGCAGCTGTCGGAAGCACTGCTCTGAGAACAGGCGCTCCTGAGATGGAGCTCTGATGCTGGAGCCTCGCTTGTGGAATCCTAATGACCACTGGGCAGAGGGCAGAGTGCAAAAGGATGATCCAGGGGATTTTACAGGTGAAATAATGAAGGCATCAGGCCTTTCTGGACAGTGTGGGATCTGGAGACAGCCAGTTGTGCTTGAATCCCAGCTCTGCCATCAACTAGCTGAGTGCCTGTGGCAAGTTATAAAACCTCATTTTCCTCATTTGTCAAATGGAAAGTTTCTACACTACAAAGCTGGCATGAAATGAGACAATATATTCAAAAGCACTTAGAAGGATGCCTGGCCCATAGTAAAAACTCAGAAAATGTGAATGCCTATTTTTAGCATCTTTCAACCATAGCTTCACTAGCTGATATCAGTCAATTTTATTATTTACCATTATACTGAAGAGGCAACTCATCCTAGGCTTTGGATACTACACTTGATCTTAGCCAAAAGGCCGAGAAGCGATTATCATCCTAGGCTTTGGTAGAACATGTTTTAGCCATCATTTCAGTTATGAAAAAAAATCAGAATTAGAGTATTATTCAATGACACCAGAAATAATGTCTTTTTATCTTCCTTGTCAGCATTTAATGGTGTCTCCAAAACATCATAGAGATTACTGGTCCTTGGAAGAACTGGCCATAAAAAAGGGCAACAGATCCACTTTATTAAAATAATAACAAACCCATTGACATACAATCGAAGTCAGTTATCTGTGACATTTTATCATTCTACGTTTAACATATACACAACTGAAAAAATGAAAACAACAACCATTTGGTTTGGGAAGATAACATCGGGTGGGATAAATCATTCATCTTATTTGTTAAAATTCATTTGTTACTGAGAAAAACTACAGGTTCAGTATTCTTTATCTGAATGTTTGGGACTAGAATTATTTTGGATTTTAGATCTTTGGATTTGGGGATGTTTGCATTATTCCTTACCAGTTAGTTGAGCATTCCTAATGTGAAAATTCTAAATCTAAAATGTTCCAAAATCTGAAGCTTTTTGAGCACTGGCACTCAAAAAGATTCAGATTTTGAAGCATTTCAGATATTTGTATTAAGGATGCTTGACCTATACTTACCATTTATTGACAAGTAATTTATTTAACAAAAGTAAAATCAGATTAGAAATATAGCTGGCAAACACACATATATCTTATATATCCAAATACTAGGTGTTTCAAATAAAGACATGAAAGAAACTTCCATGAATATTATAACTGCATCTATTTTTAAAAACAGACCATCACTACAATAAGCTAAAATGGAATCAACTTGAGTCTTAAAAAATGTTTTGTACTTTTTCCTCCCTCTTCCTTTTGCCTGCTTTTTGCAATTATTTTTCTTTATAGAGATCTTTAAATCAGTATTATAAGGAGTCTTTAGAAAGATTCTATTGAGTCTGTAAGATGTTTGGTTTTTAATTTTAATTTGAATGTTCTGAGGTGGAGGAAGACTTCACCAACTATTCTGGAATGATTTGGGACTTACACCCAGACAAATGTGCACATTTATCTGTTTGGCATTTGAGTGTTCAACCTTTGTTTTAAAAGGTGGTAATGGTTGGTCTTAATATATTATTATTCTGAGATCTTGTGCAAAGGCAAAAGAGAGAAAATGAATGGGAATTTTTACAACTGTTGGGTTATAACAGATGAGGAGAAGTATAAATGAACAGACAATTCATTAATTTTAAAATTTTCAATTACTGACCTCATCACCCATGTGAGACTGAAACTCAAACTTCATTGGTGGACAGAATGCAGCAGGGTACATCTCCATGAATCTCTGTTTATCACTCCTTGGCTCTAAATTGTCAACTGCATTCTCGATGATGTCTAGGCCCTCGTGTCTGGAGGTTTCAAGGTTATACTCAGCAGAGAGATATGTTCTTAGTGCTCTGTTCAGACTTGCATGGTAGCCAAGATCACAGCACTTAAAAACACAGAAGAACACCATATACAAAAGTTAACTTAAAATCGATCAAAGACCTAAATGTGAGACCTATCAACACAGACTCTTGGAAAAAAACATAGGGATAAACATCATGATATTGAATTCTTGGATGTGATATCAAAAGTGCAAGAACCAAAGGAAAAAGGAAAATAAATTTGATTTCTTCAAAATGGACAGTTGTTGTGCTTTAAAAGTTACCATCAGGAGGGCTGGGGTTGTGACTCAGTGATAGAGCACTTGCCTAGCACATGCTAGATGCTGGGTTCAATCCTCAGCACCACATAAAATAAATAAATAAATAAAACAAAGGTATTGTGTTGAACTACAACTAAATATATGTATTTTGACTACCAGGAAACTGAGATAAGAGATTTGTAAGAATATATAAAGAACCCTTCCAACTCCATAATACAGAGAAAAATACCTTAATTTAAAATGGGGGCAGTGGATCTGGAGAAGAAGATATAGAAATGGTCAATCATATGAAAAAATGGTCAGAATCACTGTCATGGAGATGCAAATAAAAACCACAATGGGTCACCATGTACACTCCTTAGGATGGTTACAATCAAAAGACAGATATCAGCAGGTTTCAGTGTAGAGGAGTTGCAACCCTTGCACAGTCTGGCAGTTCTTCAAGAGGTTAAACATACCATTACCATATGATTCAGAAAATCCATTCTTAGGTATGTATCTAAGAGAAATGAAAACATATTTCCACACAAGAACTTGTACATGAACGTTTATAGCAGTTTTATTCATAATAGCTAAAAAAACTGAAACAGCTTAAATGTCCACTAACCACTGAATGAATAAACTGTGGTACAGTCATATAGTAAAGCATTATTTCTCCACAAAAGGAACAAAATCCTGATACATGCCACATGCATCAACTTTGAAAAGATTATGCTATGTGAAAGACAGCTGCAAAAGACCATGTATTATATGAGTCCATATATGGTATGTATAAAATAGGTACATCTACAGAGACAGAAAGTAGATTCTTGTTTGTCTAGGGCTGGAGGCACAGAAGAATGGTGTGGGAGAGGGTGATAGCTGAGGGGTACAGAATTTCTTCTTGGAGTATTAAAAAGTTCCTAAAATTGATTGTGATGATGGGTATACATACTGTGAATATCCTAGAAGTCATTGTAGATTTAATGGGTGAACTGTATGGTATATGAATTTAAATCTCAATAAACCCGCTAAAAGTTTTAAAAAAGTATAGTCAAATATTGAATGAAATAATGAAAAATGGTATTCAAGTTTCAGTCATGAAATTCTGTGATTGATACAATAATTTATTAAATTCTTCCAAGCTGCAAATAACCTAACTGGAATCTTTTGGGATTTGTATGCTTTATAGAAGACTCAAGAATAATGTGTACCTTCTTACAAGTACAAGAAGAGGTTTGAATCTGTCACAATAGTCTACAAATGCCTTCCCTCTTATTCCCAGAATAAAATTCTTAAACAGAAAATGATTTTCAAAGTCTTCTTATTGCAGACCTAATTTTTTTTCACTATGCCTAGGAATAAAACTTTGAGATTCTTGAGTCTTCATTACCTTTAATTTACATTTATATTTAGTTTTTCATGTTGCATTTTAAGCAAATATGGTTTAAAAGGAGTATATCACTCTAGAAATTAGTTTTTAATTATTGACAGCAGAATTTTAAATTTGGACATAAAGGCAGTATGAATCCCTTAAAAAGAAAACAAGTGATTTTTAAATGGACAAAACCAGGTCATCTCCATACTGTTCTAATGAAGTTCAATCAATTCATTTTGATTCAATTCAACTCATTAATTGGCCAGGAGCCAGGGAATATGCTGGGCTCCAGGCATATTAAGACTGGAACACAGTAAAATACCTCCATCCTCAAGGAAATTGAATATAATCTGTTCATTAGTTTGCTACAAAAATAGGAGTAGAGGGTGCACAGGGGAAGCAGCCTTTATACAAAGGATGCATCCTCCAGGATGTGAACCAGGAACACAGCCTTTGTGAAGGTACATGTTCAACCACTAAGCTGTCTTTGACAAACCAAATGCCAACCTACAGAATTCTACCCTTCACCCTCAAATTTCCAAATTATTGCATTTGGAATTTTTATGTAAAGATACTCTAAACCACTGCTATTTATAATTTGGTCTGTGGTCAGCAGCGGTAGCATCACCAGGGGCTTATAAAAAATGCAGAATTTTGGTTCACACCCCTGACATGCCAATTCAGAACCTAAAGTTTTTAAAAGGATCCACAGGTTAATCATATGTACAAAGTCTAAGAGGAGCTGTCTCAGATGATGATGATCAAGAGAAAAGGTCCTGTTACCACTCCTTTGGGGGTGCTATTTCCCCATGCCAGCAAGAGGACTTGATGACTGGATTTGAACAATTGGAAAGTAGCTATGACATCACAATTACGAATATAAACAAAATACAATTGTGAAATGCAGTGATCAGTCTTACCATTAATACATTTCCAAAAAAATCAGCTGCACTCAAACAGGAAAATGATTCTTTTTTTTTTTTTTGGTTAATTTAGAAATTCTCATCTCAAATGAACAAAGTCCTCTTTTATTCTTCTTGCTCCTCACAATCCATAATGGTTCTATGTAGCAGTTTCATACACATCAGAAGGACTGAAAATTCATTCTATTTTCAGTAATACCTTATTTTATGAAAACATGAACTTGTAAAGGAAAGTCAGTCTCTCTCTCTCTCTCTCTCTCTCTCTCTCTCTCTCTCTCTGTACTGGTGCTTAAAAACATCCCACTATTCCAAAAGAAGGCAGATTCCACTTGATTATAAGGAAGCAGATGAGACAAGTTGGTTCATTTTATGGGTATTGATCCCAATGGAACTTAATAAAAAAGTTGAAATTGAGGGAAAAGAAAGTCAGAGAAAAGTTTATTTTCCCCTTAAAAAAGCCAAGTCTCTTATAACTTGAAGATAGAAGGAAAAGGGGGGAGAATAAAAAGAAAGCAATCTAATTAATCCCAATTACCTCACTTGGAGCTCTTAAAAAATACCTACTAAGTTTTCAGTAATTCCAGACTTAAAGAGTTCACTCCACAAATATCTGAGTGTGGCTTCTTTGGGGAAGAAATGTCAAGACAACAAAAGCATCATGTGTTTCCATACTCAGCATACCAGGTGGATTCTGTCTGGCTGAACCCAGGGAGAGGCTGGGAGGAGCTCACATGTGGCTTAGTAACTCATCTAGGCGTCTCTCCAGGAATCTTTTGGACTTGTTTAGGAGGTTTCCGTGAGGAGTTTGATGGGCAATTTCCTTCTCTGACCCCTAGGGTACATGTCAGTCTTTAAGGTCACTAATTGGCATAATTTTATTAATTCTGATACACTGCATTTTTACACTCTCAGGTTTTTTTTTATTAGTTGCTCATGACAATACAATGATCTTGACATATCATAATTTGATTCAAATGGGGTATGAATTCTCATTTTTCCATGTGTACAGGTTGCAGGATCACATTGGTTATACGGCCACAGCAATACAAGTGTCTATTGTATTCTGCTGCCCTTCCTGTCCCCCTATGGTACATGTCAGTCTTTAAGGTCACTAATTGGCATAATTTTATTAATTCTGATACACTGCATTTTACACTCTCAGGCTTTTTTTTTCAAAAATATTTTTAGTTGTAGATGGAGGCAATACCTTTGTTTATTTATTTTTATGTGATGCTGAGGATTAAACTCAGTGCCTCACATGTGCTAGACAAGTGCTGTACCGCTGAGCCACAACCCCAGCCCTACACTCTCAGTTTTTAAAGCATCTTGAAAGCAAAAAGAAACCAGGAATGGAAAGATGTTATTCCTCGAGGTTCCGTGAGATAGCAAGGCTAGCCACAGAATCATCTTTTTTTCTAAACCAGAAGCTGAAGTGACACTGGCTGTGTAAGATTCAAGATAATTTGGTTTAAAAGGTCTAAAGTAGTTCTATGGAGTTTATGGATTACTAATAGGATATGAAAAATCAGCTTCTGCATAAAGAGTTGAGTTATATAACCCAAGTTCATTTAATGATGAAAATACATAAGAAACCAATAAAATATTTCATGCAAACAAAACAGTGTTATTCTGGTGGATGAAAAACTCTGAATGAATACATAAAATTATGGATCAAAACTAAAGGAAGAAAGATTGTTGGAAGCAGTTGAGTATATATAAATATTTTAAAAATATCTAAAGAACCGCCAAGATAGATTCCACAAAGTTTTAGTCTAAATCATCACAGTGAGCTAATTTTGTTAGGCAAAAGAGTTGAGAAGAGAATCAAAATGAAGATGAAATCCAAGTATTGAGAGCTGTGACAAACACTTCATCTTGTCCCAAACCCTGAGGGCCAGCTGAAGTTTATGTGGTGGGTATCATGTTAGGGCAACTGGATCACAGCTGGTCAGAAGGGCACCTTTTCTTTTTCTTTTTTGTGTAACTGCATAACATTTAGCCCTGCCGAGGTAGAAGTTTGCTAGCAATATGGGAGTTGCTGTAATGAAAAGGCAGAGGAAAGAAGTCCAACATTTATGTTTCTAGAACACTAACAGCCAATGTTGTTTGACAGGGCAGTCCTAGAAATGGCTGGAGGGCAGCCCCAAGTTCCCACATGACTCCAGAATTAAGCAGGTTATCATGAGAATGGAAGTGTTCCACTTTTTATGTAGAGATATTCTACTTTCACTTCTATTTTCTGGCCTTTGGGAGACTTTACTGGTTCTCTTCTCTGGGTGTTAATATGTTTGGCTTGAACCACTGCAGAGCTATGGATAATGGGGAAAGATTCTGTCCACCCCTTATTTATTTATTTATTTTTTGAAAAATAGTGCAACCAAAGCAAATTGAATTGTAAAAATGGATAGCTTTCACATGACTGTGAGTGGCTTCAAAAGACCAGAAGGAGGATAAGTCCGGAGGCTATTTATTTATTTATTTATTTATTTGTATTGGTGATCTAA